CTGGTATGTGAAATCTTAATAAGCCTAATAGCCTCTCAATAAATCCAACAGTGAAAACTGTAGAGTTTAGGTTAGGGGGCAAGGAAAATACACAAGACTAGTAGCCTAAATTGAATATTCTAGAAAAAAAGAGCAAAACTAAGCCAACTAATTAGACAAGAATATACTTAAAATCCTAAATGAGAAGAAATTAATCACAAATTATGCGGTTTCAGAGACCAGAAAGTATACCTTATGAATAATTTGACAGATTCACGAACCTTATAACTCTTAATTTCCCTGTCAAGTTGTGTCAATTGTTGGAAATCCTTTTCAGCTGCCTTAAGTGAGGCTTTAAATTGCTCCTGAGCATCAGAAAGGGCCTGGATTTCAAGATAAGAGTTGCACTTGACGGGATCCGTAAGATCTTCCTCAGCGTTTTCGAACCAGGAATTGAAAGTGGATGCCCGTTTAGCAAAGGCCAAATAAAGTTCTTCAACTTTTTTGTATTGCTCCTGTAATTGCAACAGGTGATTCTTCCTGCGCTCTGATTCACGGCGCAGACGTTCCCAACGCTCAACCAGACTAGCATGACTGAAAAGCAAAATAACATTTTTAGGAATAGAAAAATCCCGAAGACATTTGTCCTCTCTAGAGGATTGTCCCAGAAGGCAAGCATTCAACTTAATTTGATTACGCTCTCATATCATTGGGCAAGGCCTAAAACTAAGTATGTTTTATTATTAGAAGAGAAAGGAATGATTTTATTTAATTCAAGTTTGATTATTACATGATTCAGTATCATGCTACCCGTTGTAAATCTTAAACTACAAAGTTAAGTTATACCATAAAGATATATATGCATAAGTATATTAGATACACACACACACACACACCCACACACAGTAAGGACATAAATATAGGGAAACTAGAATTGTAAGAACTTTTAGGTGATTTTGTAATCGTCACTCGAAGATGATTATCCATACCCCGATGACTCACGCGCAAGAGGGCCCTGGAAATTTTAAATAAAGATATGGCAAACCTGAATTTATTTGATAAGGCAACACGTCTGTCTTATTCTCAAAATCAAGACTTAATAAAAGCATCAGAATTCAAAAAACTATGATTAAGCTTCTCGTACAGTTTTCATCAGAAAGCAAATATAAAATTAAATAAATAAATAACTCATTTTATTGTCTAGCCTATTTCCACTTGAATAGAAAATGAATAATGAAGATATTGAAGTTTCAAACTTGCCGCTTTGCTAATTATGTTATACCTGCAGTTAAGTGCAAAATTATAAGTAATCAAAATCAGCACTTCGACAACACATTAAGTGCCAGGTACATAGTTGGAAAGTCAAGAATTAACTGTGTTTAATTCAAAGACTGAA